GAATCACGTTTTCTGCACCCAATGGGTTTTGGCAGCATCTACTTAATATGGGATCAAAGACCAGGCAGTATCTCTGCAGACAATTTGTGCCCCATGCTGCTTCCCCTAGCTCAGCTAAACCAGTGATGTACCAGAGATGTCAGGGTTACCCTTGGCTATCACAAAAAAATAGGCAAAATGCTACTGCTGTCTCTACCGCTGGTAGAAAGAGCTACTGGATAATCCACCTGCATGTGAATATACCATTATAACCTTGCTCCTTTCTGTGCAGCATATCAGGCCATGGCAGATGGCACCCTGAGGACTGCTACACCTCATGCTTTTCCCTCCCCTGTGCACCTCTGGCACTCCCAACCCATCGCTGTGACCTGCTTGGGACTGTGCTGTCCTTTAATCTTAGATGCCTGAGGGGAAGAGGGACCAGAGTCGAGCTCAGGTGTGAACTTTGCCATGATAGGGAGAATCATTCTGCCTACATACATCTGCAGCTGAGTGACACACAAACTGCGGTCTCGTGATTTCATACATCCATACAAGTTCCCCGGGCATCTGAATTTCTGTTTGTGTTTGGTTTTATTGGTTGGGGATTTTTTTAATGTTGATTTTGTTTGTTTGTGGTTTTCTTTGTGTTTTGTTTGTTTTGGTTTGGTTTTCAACTTTTTTATTCTTACGTAAAATTTGTCACTATGTAAAAGAATGTGTAGCTGTACTCTTAATTCAGCAATGCAGAAGTTTTCTTTCTGGCTATCACTTACTGAACACATGATATCTGACATAAAAGTTGAAATTAATTAGCAGTATTTACTCAGTCTTCTCACCCTCTTGATGCATACAATTTTACAATATTTTGTGTAATTCTCAGAGATTAGTGATGGTTCCCTGTCAGAAAAGACACTGTGTCCTGATTCCAAGACTTACCTCGGAGAGCACTACAACACTCACTCTCTCTTCGGCTGGTCACAGACAGCACCAACTTTCAAGTAAGTTTTCTAAGCAGATTTCAGGTGATTGAAATAAATTTTAAAGGCTGCTGATGTTACCTGGGAAATCTGTAATAATATCTACTAAGAAATAGCTCCATGCTTCATTTCACTATTTGTCATTTAGTAAAAATTTTCAAGAAAAGAGAGTCTTGGAAGAAGAAATGGTATCTTTTCGGAATTTACTTTTCTTAGCTAAAATCAGGATCTACTTGTAGGGCCTAACTCTTCAGCTACTGCTTTTGTGTAACTAGAGCAAGATGTTCCTGTTCTCCGTTAGAGCTGCTTATGTGCAGCTGCTGCAGAAGCAGCCTTGTGAGGCATCAGGGGAATTTTTCCATCCCTTTGTTACTGTGGCCCAAGCAGAGATGTTCCTATCACTTCCAGTGAAGGATCTGAATCATGTGGCTCCTGCGGCTCCTCCTGCTTCTGGAGCTGCCTCTGGTTCCTGGCAGGCAGCATTTTGTGTGTATGCCTGGGGCTCGGTTGGTCCAGGAGGGCAGAGCTGCATTGCAGCACAGTTGATGTCAGCTACTGTAAAACTCATTTTGCAGCTGGGAAACACTCAAAACTAGCTTATACAAGCAGTCTGTTGCTGTGGAGCTGGAGTGGCAGGGTAAAGCTGGCTGTTAGATTAAATCAAATGGGCAAATTATGCCTTTTGCAGTAGAGGTTGAGCTAAAACACAAAGTTTAATCCTGCAGTGTAAGTGCCAAAGCAGGGGTCCTTGTGCTGGCTTATTTCAGAATATAGCACTCATTTTCAGCACTTGAATTGTGACTGCATCCAGAGGACATGGCTAAGTGAGCCTACTCTTATGGTGTAGATGCACTTATATTTATATGCCAAGCCTGGGGGAAGGGAAGCACTGGGTAAAAGCCAGAAGTAGTTTGCCAGCTCTTGTGGACCTGGCTGAAGAGCAGTCCAGCTTTTGAGAGGAGAAGCAGAAAGCCCTTGAACCCCGGACCTCACTGGCCACCCAGCCCAGCCAGGATGCATGGGACTTGGCATGGTCTTTGGGCCCTTGTGCCCCAGTCTTAGCAAAGATGCTCCTGTCACTCGTCTGTGCACTGGGGTTTGTCCTCCACTCTCTGGGGTCTGCACAACCATTCACTGCCTTGGTAACACTGTTTGAATAGAGACTTTGGATTGGCCTGCCTTCTTGAGCTGTTTTTCTAGTTCCATTCAAGCTCTGTGCCAGTTTTCCTGAGGCAAACCCTGTGAATTTAGCAGGAAAAGTTCTGCACTGCTGCCCCAGCCCCTTCAGTGTGCACAGTGTCCTGGCCAAGCTAACCTGGACCGACGCCATTGGGATGGTCACTGCTGCTCCTTGCAGCCTCCCCCAAGGCTCTCAGCCTTCCCCATCCTGCTGCACCTGCTTGCAAGGCTCCTTCCAAGAGAAACACATTTTTTGCTGAACCAAATGTAGAGAGTCTGTTAAGACTGGAGAATACCACCAAAAGCTTAAGCAGAGGCTAGATTTGCTGCAAAGTGGGGAACTCTGGTGAATTTTGTTCTGTACACATTCAGTTGGGTTTCTCAAACATTTCTTTTCAAGGCTGGTTGTTTCCCCTTTCTGCATTTGCTCTTCACAAATAATATGCTAAATTAAATTACTGAAAGGAATATTTAGCAAACCAGTATCAACTGCAGGATATTGGCTGAAAGCAAATAACAGCTTCGTAATAATATACAAAGCAATTCTAAGGATTATTCTAGTGCAGCCAGAGAATAGGAATGTGTCATTTGACCCATGTCAAATGGCTTGAGTTTGGTTACATTAATTAGCACAGCAATCAGCTTGTGTCTACCTTAATGCTGAGAGTTATTTGCTCATGATATTCTGTAAATAATTTCAGTCAACAAATACATTTGACAATATTAGGACCTGCTCGGCAATGGTTCACAATAGACTAAAATTTATCCAAGAATTACTTGTTGCAAATAATTTGAGTTGATTTGATGTTGCCCTCATTAGCAACCTGCATTTGCAAATAGAGCCAAAGACTTGTGCTACACAGCGAGAGCAGAGGACACATATCCTGGACATCCATGAAATGGCTCCAAAATGCCATTTATACAAAACACATGGAGTCATGAGTAGTTATTGAGCCCAGCAGCACTCCTACAACCCTGCACCTCTTGTTGCATATGGCCCATCAGTTTAATCTGTTTAGGCTGTTGGATTTTTTGCTTCAGAAACAAATGTTGAAGCATTTCAAAGGCTCTGTGCCATCACAGAACCAATACCAAATCTTGGCCATTACGAATATGGATGAAAGAGCTCTTGATCAATTCTCATTAAGGAGGGGGAGAATAAGGTGGATGGTGAACAACATGATTATTATTTTATAATAGGATTTCCCAGAGAGTATAAGTTGTGTTGCTCAAATCATATTAAAGCAGAGCTGAATTTGAGTTCCTGCAATATAGAATATTGCAATATGAAATGATGTACAGAGATTATCCTACACTGAAGAATTTTGTTATAGATTTGTTAATGAGGTATATTGCACTTCCTTGATTTTCTGGTGATGCAGAAAAACTATTTTAAAAGGCAAGGAAAAATTCATTACACTACTAATTCTGTAATGAAACCTCATATATCAAACAATGACAGAAAACCAGAGGAAATACTACAAGCATGGGGTGACATTTTGAATGATTACATTTTAGCTTTCTATATTGATTATTATTTTTTTTAAGATATTCAGATTATTACTATTTTTTAATTCCAGGATATTACAACTGATTCGGCAATACAAATCTCTAAATAAATCCTATATTGAAAAAAATACATATTTTACTCGGTTTTAGAAGCATGTAGAACCTAAAAGGAATGTACTAATACAGAAAGGAAATTATGTTTCAATTTTCAGATTAAGACACTGTTGAGAATAAATTTGTGTTAAACACAGATTACTTTTTAGGAAGGCTAAAAATACCTGAAACAAACTGTTTTGTGGATCAGATAGATTTATTTTGTTTTATTTTGGTCACTGAGTAAAACTTCCCATTATTTGCAGTTTTGCAGCCCCGTTTACCAACTAACACATTTAATAACTGTTTCACAAGTAACACCCCTTCAGCGAAAATTGTGCCTGAAAGCTCAGGGTGATTGTATGACTCTTTCAGTTACCATTCTTATTTTGAATGGTCTTCTTGCCTTTCTTTGCAGCGTTGTCCAGCAGGCAACTGGAAAGCGAGCGTTTGTCCTGAGTCGATCTACATTCGTTGGCAGTGGGAAGCACGGAGGTCACTGGCTGGGTGACAACTTCTCTCAGTGGAGGGACATGCGCCTGTCAATCATTGGAGTCCTGGAATTCAACCTCTTTGGCATTCCCTATGTAAGTCCAATGTCCTTCAGGCAGTTGCTGGCTCATACACAGTATTGCTTTAAATTAACTCAAATGTTTTCTGAAATAAGCTGCTTGAGATGGCCAGCAGGAACGGCCTCCACAGCATAAGGAACTGGAGGTTTAAAAAAGCTAAATGTCATCAGTCTTGGTTGGCTGAAGAGAAACAAAAATAACACTGCTAGATTCAGATTAAATTACTGCATCCCATCCAAAACTGATCTCTCTATATTATGTATTCTATCACTGAAGTCCGTCCATATATTTTTGGTTTTACAAGCTGGGCTGGAGGATTCGTAGAATTACTGAAATATGGTGAGATCTTCCACAGTGATGTTAATGCTACAGGAGTCAGTACAACCTCAGTCCCTGGAAAATTTCATATCATATGGAGCATTCTTATAAAATAATCAGAAATAGGTATCTCTTTCAAAAAGTTATCTTTATTAACAGACTTGTTTAGTTTCTCATTTTGGGGCCTCAGTCACAACCACAAACATTCATCCAGTGAACTTAATTTTTCTGTAGATTGGTGCTGATATCTGTGGGTTCAACTATAACACCACCTACGAACTCTGCTTGCGCTGGATGCAGCTGGGCTCTTTCTATCCCTTTTCCAGAAACCACAATGCAGAGGGAAATATCGTAAGTAAACAAAGTTACCCAAAGCTGTAGTCTATCATTACAGTGACCCTGATGGTGATTTGTGTTACCTTCTCAGAAATTTACCTGCCATTCTTGGGTAAACTGGAGCAGTAGGTGAAAAGGATTGCTGCACTGAGAGCAGGATTTACTCAGGGAAGTGTAAATTTTTCCCATCCATCATGTAAAGATGACATAGAGATGCTGAAAACTATGCAGTATCTAACATCTGAAAGCCATGCAGAAATGTGTGCTGCATACTTTGAATGACAGAAAATGGTCTTCCCGCACTGTTGGCAAGGTTCATCCCCTCTATCTTTTTCCTGCGGAAGCCTGGGTTTTATTTAAGAACCAGTGAGTGTCAGACCATCTTCCTACTCCCTTGTTTATGTCAATTTTTGTTTCAGTACTTCTGTAACTATAATAGGCATTGCAGGAAGGTGAGGGAGAGCATTATACACCATCTTTGCTGTTTAAAAGCAAGTTTTAGACAAATGCCACAGTTAGAAACTCCAGACAAACATGCAAGAACTCTAGGGAAAGCCAGTGATTGTGACAGCATTGGCAGCTGAGAAGCAACAAAGACTGAAAAAGGCCAGTAAGCCCATGAGAAGCATAAAGAAGTGCAGTCTCAGCCCAGACACGTGCTCTGGCTTCAACTTATCATAAAGTCCTTTCAAGACTTGTCACAGATAGAAAGAAATATCAGGTTGTTTCTAACTATGAACAGTTTAAAGGTCTTGCAGCCTTTTTAAGTACACTGTGCTTATCTGCAACCATGATGAAATGGTTCTCTCAGTTCAATAAATGCGTTGTTGTTTGTTTTTTTCCTTCTGTAAACTGCTCCATGCAATGCTGGAGCTCAGGTTATTAGCTAACCTTCAGTTTTCTTTGAAGATGTGTTATCAAAATTTTGCAACATTTACACCCAAAGAAAGACCTCTATTTCTGCTTGAAAGTATGATGGACACTGAGCATCTGGGCAAATGCAGAAATAATAAGATATAGTGCTGTCCTTAAGAGCATCAGGAATTACCCTGTAGATCTTTGGGATATGCTGAGATATTTCTCTCTAGGAGAAAAAATTCAGTGAGGTGTGAGCTGCTGTTATTGATAAACGTTTTCTATTTACCTTTTCCACTAAAATTAAAAGTACTTTATCTCTATGTATTTGCTTGGCCCTTTGAGCGTGCAAATGGGGTCTGACCTGGGTGAGTGGGTAATTAGTCACATACATACAATTTAATAAGCAAGCACAGAACAATGGGTCTACCTGATGGGAGCTGCAACTCAGTGTTGAGTGACTGACAGAAGTACAAGAAGATATATTTGGTTTTACTGGATTACTTAAATCCAGTTAAAACATTGCATTCACTGGAAGACATTAAAGGCATTTTTAATGATTCAGCATCATCTAAGAAGTCTGACTGGTTTGTTGGTTTTTTTTGTGAACTTAGGCAATATATGTACAGTGTCAAAATACTGGTAAAAATACTGTGCAATTTTAAAAATAATTGGTAGATGCTTTGGAGCTTATAGCCAGCAGAGGATATTAACAGTGACTAATTCTGATGTAAACATAACAATGGAGAAATTTTACTTAAATATCAAGTTTAATTAATATTAAGTTAGTGTTAAAATAAAATCATAAATATCCACTGTGCCTAATCCACTGGGGATTTTGAGTAGTTTAATTAATAATTTTATTGCCTGAAAAGCACTAGATAATATAAAAAAGCTTTGTTACTTCTGTTCCTTTTATGTTTCATTATCCTTGGAATTCATCAGACATTCTCCAGTTTTAACGATAAAACAGTATTATGGGAAAATTTTGTGAAGGAGGAAGGGGAAGGCGTGTGACTTGTTATCTGGCTCAGTTTGGCACTAGAGGTCAAACAGAAGGAATGAAGGCAGATGTAACTCCTTCCTGTATCAGCACTGCCCTGGGCTGTGTGCTTCACATCCCATCACCGGGGGGAGTCAAGGTTGCCTTAAAGTAGATCAAAAGCAGCCAACGAGTGTAGGTAGATTTGCTTAAACCTGCAAAACCACCCTCTGGATGGTGGTACCCAGTATGAGTGCCCTTTCTCCCAGGACAGCAACACTGGCAGTGAGGAGAGGGGCACCACTGAGGTGTGGGAGTCCCCTTGTTCAGAGCATCCTAAAATGGTGGGCACAGGAGGAGAAATCAGGTTTCTTTGTGTTGATTAAATATTTTCCCCACTGCAGGCAGTGATTTCAGTCACTCCCTTTGGCTTCAGCAGGGCCATGAATTTAGCCTTACTTTTAAATAGATTTGCCTTTCTGTTCTTGGCCAACATAATGATGCTTTTGCCCTTGTTTCGTAGATTATCAGTCTTCCCTTTTTCCTGTGTTTCACCTTCTCTGTCCCAGAGGGCTTGCATCTCCAGGATAAATTAATTTCTGCAGACAGGGTGTCTGTTCTCAAGCATGGACATGAAACCCCAGCTTTCCTCCTGTCATAAGGTTAGGGGTTGTTGCAGATGGCTCATATACGCCATGGGGGAGGCCTGATCTCTCTGAACACGGTGGAATTTTTCAAGTTGAAGATTTTTAAACAAATATTAGTTTGGCGATAGTAGATGTGGTTCTTAATACCTCTTCCAGTTTGCAGACCAGTCTTTTTTCTTATTTGAACATTCACTTTCATAGCATCGTGTCAACCATAGCTCTCCTGAGGTTGCACACAGGTTCTCTGTTGAGTCCCTGGTTATAATGCTCAGTACAAATCAAAGCTTTTCCTTAACAGGAACAAGACCCAGCAGTGTTTGGAGATGAGTTTGCCAAGATAGCTCGTGCTACACTTCGGATCAGATACTCACTGCTTCCATACTTGTACACCTTGTTCTACGAGTCTCATGTCCACGGAAACACGGTGGCGCGGTCACTGATGCACGAGTGAGTTTGGAGTTTCTCTTTTTTAATCATATTTTACTCACAAAAATAGTTGAGCTTCTGTGTATAAACTAGTGGATATCTGTTTGAGAACGGTCACAGTAATATTACTGCATGCTCTCTCTTAAAAAGAACAGTTTTAGAATGAAACCTAATCAGATTATGTGCACAAAAAGAACTCTTAATATGTGCAATAGACTTTAAAATATAACCTATATTTGTTTCCAGTGGGAAAAAAACACATCTAAGTAAGGGAAATTCTGAAATTTTCTTGTCTTAGGCAAATATGCAGTTGTTTTTTATTTTAAAAATAGGAATCATATACCTGTATTTTCTGTGTTTGAATGAAATGAAATCTGTATTCTGGTCCAGAATGCCAAGATGGCTTCATACAGAGAAGCCTCAATTTTCCAATCATCCACGGCATTTGCATTTTCCAATTTAGCATTTGCATCTGGATGCTGTGTATGAAACCTACACCTGTGTCCACAAATTGCAGAGAGAAAACAGAGATAGAGATGTCTGAGTGTAGAAGCAGCTGCAAAACTGAGATTAATAAATACAGCCTGAAAAACCCCTCAGAAAATGTGACCTCAGATTTTTGGAACAACTAATTTTTTTCTGTTTGGAATAAGTAGGAATCAAACTAAGGTTTAGTTCCCCTCTCAGCATCTTTTAATGAGCTTTTTACCTGCTTTTGGTAAATTTTCTACTTCAGGATGCTTTATGCAAAGACTTGAGCAAAAGGGACACACCTAATGCATATGATAGGCTACTGCCTGAAGCTCTGACACAATTTAGTCTTATTGGTGCAGACTATGTCCTGATCTGTTTAATGTTGTTTTCCCTTTTAAGTTAAAAAGATTAAGGAGAAATGTTACAGGTACTCATGTCTTACAAGGGACTGTACATTATTTCAAGTATTTATTTTAGCTCTATTTTTGCTTAATTAAATTTGTGTTAATATTGGCTATTACTGAGTTCATTTTGACATGAATATTAGCTAACCTCTGCTAATACTGAATTACTCTGAAATCTCAGAGGCACCAGCAGAGACTTCTGTTAGGTGAAACTGGGCTGAAAGGTGCACTCCAGCCATTGATGGGAGTTTAGTCAGTAGAACCAGACTGGAATTACTAGGAAATAAAAACTCCAAAATATATTTGGGGCATGTAGGCATCAGGAGATCTGCACAAACTGTTCCACTACCCAGATTATTGTTACTTAATGAGTAATTCTTACTATTTATAATTAATATTCATTGGTTTGGTGGGTCTGATTAAGTAGAGACAGTGACCTACATGCTAACAGGAGGAGAAATGTGGATTTTAGAGAACAAGAGAACTAAGCCAGAATTTTTAATGTATAGATGATGGAATTCTATATCAAACCTTTCCCTTACTTGTAATAAATACAAAAGAGAGCTAAAAAACCTGCACTAGTTTTTCAAGTGGAGCTGTTAGGAGTTAAGCACCTTTTGTAGATCCCAGATATGACTTAATGGCTTGTATTTTCAAAATGGGGAAGCTAATTTTTTTGCTGAATTTGTGCTTGTGGTTGTTAGAGGTGCAAGAGCAAATGGTGCTGAGTCAGATGGTGAACCACTTGTTTCCACCTGCAAATAAGATTGCCCTCTCTTGATTAGCTCTCTCTCCTGAAACCTCCCAAAACAAAGTATATTGAATAAGTATTATGATTTTATTACAGCAAAATTAAAAATACAGACAGGCTGTTGAGATAACAAAACCCCCTAATGTTTCATATTTAACAAACTTTAAGACAAAGTAATGAATCAAAAACACCACCTCACTTAAAAAAATTACAAAACATCATGTCAGAATCCAGTAATGACCAAGATTAAGATGTCTAAAAGAGCTACTGGTTTTGGCAGAAAAAGAAACTCTGGCTAAACTGAGGTTTCTTTCATGCAGAGCCTGAGACATGCCTGCAAGAACATATTTTTTTTCCTGAGTTCCATGTACTCCCCTTAAGTTGCAATATTTTAGAAATCCCAGCACCAAATAGATGTGTTTTTATTGCCAAGGAGGTTTTGCTCATTTGGAGTAATTTCTGCAAGCCTGGGCTGGGTGCAGGGTAGACCTGTGCCCAGAGCAGGCAGGGTGTGAGAGCAGGACACTGAGCATTTTGCTCCAGCCAACATACAACAGAAACCTGTCCTTAGGCAGGAGCAGCTGCAAACTCAGTCAAGCAGATGTAGTAAATACTTTAAAAAAAATAATAATTTGTACATCCTTAGAGAATTATGTATTAATATGCAGCAGGCAGTAGGAATTTTTAAAAATGCATTATGATGGACAGCTCAGCCCAGCTGCCTTTTTTGATGAGGCAGCAGGGCTGTTGGATGAGAAAAAGGGCAGAGGAGCAGGGGGAAGCAGGAGACACAAACTACCTTGATTTTAGGAGGACTTGGGACACACTCCACATGACAATCTTAAAAGCTAACTGGAGAATGAAGATCCATTATGAATTTCCTCAGAGACAGGCTTAGAAACAATTGCAAGCCTATTTAAATTCTCAAGGATTTTATGCCAGATGAGTGGAGGTTCCTGAGATGGGGAGGATCTCTTTGCCAGGTGCTAGCCATTATTTTCATTAGCTGATGCAAAGTGGAATTGAAATCTCTTCTCAAGCTGGCACACAATGCCAGGCAAATGGGACTCTGAGCACTCTGGATGGCACAATCCGAATCCAAAACTATTTTAATACATTAAATAAAATGGATTTAATTACTCAAGTCTTCATCCACCCGTATAAGCAGCTAAAAAGTACAATATGTATGAACATTGTTTTGTGTTTGTCCTGCAAAAGATTTCTAATGTAAATCTATGAAAGGTGCTGGAAGCCAAATTCAAGGATTTTCACAAAGGCTTTAGATCCTAGAGAACAGTATTATTCCTCTGTGTTCCCTCTCCTGGTCCTGGCCCCTATCCTGCTCTTTGGCTCCCTGGATGACCTGTCAACCTGCTGGACAGAAATTTTGTTATTTTCCCACCACTGCTATTTTGAAAAGAAATAAGCTCCAGCATTTTGTGAAGATTCTCATTTGCTCCTCCAGTATGGTAGGTGCTACTGTAATTTCTAAATCTGTGTCCAGCTTTTGGCATTTGCTCAACCAGGAAAAATATTTGGCACTGTTGAAGGATGTCTTGAGGAAGCAGATTTCTTATTGCAGTGAGGAATACCAAAATATTCTGCAAGTTCTATAAAAATGTGAATTAACTTTGCATATTTCACTTTCAACACTAGATTTACCTCTGATAAGCAGACTCATGGAATAGATACTGCCTTCCTTTGGGGACCTGCTTTTATGATTGCTCCTGTTCTTGAAGAGGCAAGTACTGCTGGAATAAAAGAAATGAACTGCAGTTAGAGCATTGGATGACATTCAGGGCATGTTTGTTCATATCCACCCATTTCTTCCCTCCACTGTCAAAGCTTACAGAAGCATTTCTGAGCAGCACAGACAGTACAGAGCTGCCCAGTGCTTGAAGTGAAAGGATGAAAGTGAGGGCACTGCTATTCCAAACTCTAAATGGGTGTAAACAGGCTGGATGCTGCCTCTTGTGTACTCCTGTTACTGTGCTGACAGCTCCCTCCAAGGACACACAGAGAGAGTAATTGTCAAGCTGGCAAGGAACACACAGATATTAAAGCAAACTGGTTTCCATATTACCACTCACCCACAGCATTTTGAAACAGCAGCATCTCAAGGGCTGTGCTGGGAGTTTCCCAGCATCACAGGCAAGTGCAGTCATTATGGAAATGGTAATAACAATGTTAGCTGCTAATATAACAGGTTTGTAAAAGCAGCATTTTGCTGTGGCTGTGCTGGGCATGGCGCTGGAGTCAGGGCTCTTGGTGCTCTGCTGGAGCAAAGGGAGTTTCTCTCCTTGCCCCACCACTGACTGCTGACAGCACCAGGGAGGTGTATCCGAGCAGAGCCAGATACCTGCATGTGATGTATCTGGAGCTGCTTGCAGTCAGCCTCCTGCTGGAATACCTGATACATTGTCTAAATGTTGCTGATGATCAGACATAAACAGGCCACTGTTAGTCACCTTTTTTTTTTTTTTTTTATCCAGCCCTTGTGCCTCTGTGAATTCAAAAGGAAATTCTTATTCCTGCATCTAAAACCATTCTGACTCCAACCGAGGTCCCTCATTTGTCGGTCCTTCATCTTCAGGCTCCCTGAGGTTTCTAGAAGCTTATGACTAACAAAGAGACTTCACAGGGTCTCAGACCAGCTAGATGATGAAAGACGTGAGAGAAACCTTCCCACAAAGAGAGGGTGACAAGCCAGAGGTGGCTTCCTGTAAAGAACTAAATGAAAAGGAACATTATAAGGATATATAAAATGAAGGAATGTCTAGATGGGGGTTCCTAGTGTTTTCTGGGGTACTGTGACACAGAAGGAGGGCAAGGTGCCTGTGGCCTGATGGAGGAAGGATCATGTTGGAGGCAACACATTGCTGGGTCTTGTGGTGGGTGAGAGGTGGCAGCCAAGGCTGGTGGCAGCTGGCAGGACAGGGGCAGAGGTGGGCTGTCAGCCCCATACTGTGGCATTGCAGGCCAGTGGTGACTGTGTCAAGCTGCACGTGGCAGCTTGTCTAGAGAAGATGAGTCAGGGACAGCTGTCCCTTTGGGTCACGGAAAGCTTGTCCTTTGCTCCTTGAGTCTTAGGGTGTGAACAATGATACACCCATCAAAATTAGGATGAGGAAGCGCCTTACACACTGGTTTGTTATCTGGGAAGTTGTGAAGGCAAGGCTCATCACAATTCAGATGGTGGTTGCACACTCTGCAGACCAGAATATCCAGGGTTGTCATAACAATGCAGAGAAAATACGGAGAGACTGGCATCTTGACTTTCTAGGGTTTTCCCTTCAAAGCTTCAAGTGACTTTATAGATTAAGCCAAACTTTAATTTTTAAACAGCTAGTAAGGTCTAAACAGACAGATGAAACTACCTCAACCTTACTTGCTGCAGCACTATGACATTGCCTGAAATACCCAGAACTGCCCACTGTGGGAGACAGGATGTAGGACAAGACACATTTCCAGGATAGCAATTCTTGCATTCTAATGTGAGATTTGCATTCTTTAATAAATCAGTTCTTCCTTAATCCTACAACAGGATGATACAACACATGCTGCAAAACAAAACAAAGCAATTGTGCAATTAGCAGTGCATTACTTATTATTATTGTTATTTTTCTACAAGTTTAAATTGTTGACAAGAAGTCAAATATCTGTGTACCCTCCTTGCCAGACCTTACTCTCAGTTTTTGGAGCAGGAAAGGTGCAAGAGGCACTGAGCAGTGGTGTCCCCCCACTCCATCATCAGATGTGAACTCCTGTCTTGCAAAGGCTGCTGTAGACCTCACTGGGATTGCTCAGATGTTAGAGGAGTGCAGCTAGGTCAGCTGTATTTGCGAGACATAGAGCTATGGACTAGCCAAAATAATAATGTAAAATTGACTAATTCCATGGAACTGCAGTAATACTCCCCAAATAGGAGAGGCTTGTCTGTTTAATATAGATTTACCAGGACTAGTTAGTTCACTGCTATGATAATAACTCAGCCATAATATCTATGATTTGATGTTGTTAGAATATTCAGCATACACCCCTCCATGCACAAATATAATAAAGCTAATGTAATACCAGAAATGAAAAACAAAACAAAACAAAATGCTTTAATCACTTTCTAACAATTACAGGGAGCAAGAACTATGGATGTGTACTTCCCTGAAGCAGAGTGGTTTGACTACTACACCGTACGTATTTTTAAGATTCAGTTTCTTACATTTTTAACGTAACTTTAAAGGCTACAATTCCAGAAAAATAACTTTTATCAACGTTCAGCAGTACTTTTTATGTCAGCATCTGTGTTTAAAGAAACTAGAGCACAAAAAAATCTACACTAGGCTAGCTGGGAGAGTAAATTGCAGAGCTTTCAGTTGCATTTTATTTTTTGTTTTTGATTTATAAATCTCTAAGACACAGAGAACTGAGTTTTCAAGAACAGCCTATAAATTCATGAAACTGTTAAGTTTTCTTTCTTCTTTGCCTCTTTATTGCATGTTTTAATTCTTGTCCTGATACACTTCCCTGTATAGAAAACAGACAGAAACCTGAGTCGTGCTCCTGAGAACAGGCTGCAAACCATTTTGTGCATGCAGTTTTGCACATGCATCACTTTTGACTGACAGTGTAATTAGAGGGCAGGGCGAGGCTCCCCTCCAAAAGATACTTCCATGAGATGCTGAACAATCTGCTCTGTGGAAAATGCCATCCTCTTCTTGTTTCAGGGACTACAGGATTTGATGTTTTGAACATGGTCCCCAGTACTGCATTTCTAAAAGTGCTCAGTTTCAATCCAGCTAAGCTCTGCTGCAATTTGTAGGGTAAGACCAGAGTTAGCTTAAGCAGTAGTTAGACTGATGCTATGGGCTTTTGGAAATGTGAGCCCAGGAGCATCAGGCTGTTGTTAACTAACCTGAGCTACGCTGGCAGGGAAGCAGGCAGGACAGAAATGCTCTAAGGGGAAATTCAGACTTCTTTTAAATAAGTTTGATAATTTTCAGCATTTGGTTGGTGTCTTCAGATGGATGTTCACCCAACCCTTTCTCCTCTTTTCATAAGACCATGGTGCTGCTGGTTGAGCATTTTGTTCAGCTCTCCTTGTGGTTCCCTCTGAGCTCCCTTGCATGGCTGGGTGTGGGGACAGCAGCCCTAGGGCCCCTTGCCCTGCCTATGAGGCATGTCCCAGCATCTGCAGAGCTCATCTCCCAGCATTTGGCTCATACTTCCTTACACATGATGCTTATCCAAAAAGGTTAGGTACTTAGCATAGCTTATAATGATAATTTACAGCAGGCAAGAGCAAAGCCTTCCACCATCTACTCTGTATTCAAGCCTTGCCTACACCTGGTTTTGAGGCATTAAACCAGGAAGGAATAATGCAGATAACTTATGCTAGTTGTCTACACATATACAAGTTTCACTCATGGGATGCTATAAATACTTCTTGAAAGGGAAAGACTTGTCCTTAAAAAAGAATAAAATCTAAAGTTTACATTCCCAATGATTATGAATCACCTTAAACTGAGATGTGACAGGACCCATATGCATAAAAAGAAGATGTAACAGTTTCTTTTGCTTTTTGTTCAGTGTCTTGATGAAGGCTTTTTTCACAGCTTATGGAAAATTATACCATTTGCTGTCTTTCATTCATGATGCTTCTATCTCATGCATATGCATAACTGCAGGGGCTAGATCTCCTTTCACTTCAAAAAAAGGAACTGGGATAATACCCCTGAAATCCACTTCTTTTTTTTCACTTTCACTGATTTATTTGATTTAACTTTTTTTTCAGTGGTATATGGTCACAATGTATAGTGTCCAGATTTGTGGGGGTTTTTAACTGCATTAATTTTTGTGGTAGGGTCATAAAATCCCAAGTGTCTGGAAAAATCAGTATGTTACTGTGGCTGCCCCATTGAGCAAGATCCCTCTGTACATCCGTGGAGGCTACATCCTGCCAGAACAGGCTCCAGCCACAACAAATACTAAGAGGTAATGTCACCTGTGTTTGTTGCTGAACAACTGTGTGTGGGTCAGACTCAGAGACAGCCAAAAGAACAATCAAAAGACAGTACAGAAAAGAGGCTATCTGCAGCTCCCAGCTGCCATCCCAGACAATAAGCACAGCATTGTTATCCCACTATTTGCTCCATTGTGAAGAAAAATCACCCCAGAGATTACCCACATCATCATGTGCACAGCTGAAACCTGCTCCTGACATGCTCCTGGCTCTGTGGTTATGCTTGGGAAAGCTTCTGCACCTCTTACTGCCACACTGACCTGCTGCCAGTCATTCAAAGCAAATATATGAAAGGGAAAAACGCAAAACTCTTCTCCTTGGATGTTTTTAGCCAATGCCATGGGAAGGGTAGAAAGGCTCAAATCTGTTTTGAGGAAAACAATTTTCCCACACCAGTGGGTAAAACACTGGCCTCACATCTGAGCCATTCTCACAAGATAAACATGAAGGGAAGGGAACAGCACCGTGTGGCAAGCAAACATAGTAAGGTAGCACTGGTGACAAGCCATCTCCCAGACTGTCCAGTTATCATGCGTTAAAGCCACTAAAGAAGGGAAAACTTGTCCACAACAGCACTCAAAATGTGGGGATTTTACACTTCAGTGGGACAAGGCAAGGTAAAGTTTTCATCATAATTTCAGGAGCCCTTTTGATGACCATGGTTGCCATTCTTCTGTTGTAGCTTCTTTTGTAACCTTAACATTGCAGTTAATCATGTTCAGGAGTTTTTGTTAAATAACTTGCCCACAAGTTTGTACTGACACTTCTCAACGTGTTTGTTAACAGCCGTCTGAACCCATTTGGGCTCATTATTGCCCTGGATGAACAAGGAGAAGCTTCTGGATCTCTGTTCTGGGATGATGGTGATTCAATTGGTAAGCCTGGTCCCATGCTGGGAAGCAGTGTCTGTGCCCAGGGCCACCTTTTTGGCAGTATAATGGCACTGACTTCTGCAGCTACAGAACTGCCCCTAACTTGAACATTACAGGGGTGGGAAGCAGAGTGCAGTGTTTTTGATAAGAGAAAGGGGTGACACTGGGAACAGCTGATCTGCTAGAGAGGGAAATCACTCATGTTGTGTTCCCTGGAGATCACCCTAAGAAGACTACAGGAAGAGATAAAATAACCCACAAATGGTCTGACATTGGCCACTAAGTACAATTAATGTGAACTGCATATGGATTTTGCTCCCTGTTTTGATACAAATCCTTCTTGTTCTGTGTTTTGACAGATACTATTGAAAAGGAGAACTACTTCCTGGCTAAATATACATTCAGCAAAGTAAGTAGCAACTTATATAGTACTTGCAGATGTACAGGTAGCTCTATTTTATGTAGCCATGATAAGGTGCTGATGTCTAGCTCTGCTCTGGAAAGGTTTTGTTATTTTCCTTATAGCTCAGCCCTTAATGCTGTTAAACTACCTAATGCTTTCATTTTCAGACAGCTACAAAATAATTTGACTATGATGCTGCAGTTTTGTGTTTGCTTCATTGAGTATCATAGTGGCACATCACCAATGTCCCTGCTGTGATGTGAATCTGCAAACCCGGTTTTTCAGCTCAGATTTTTTTTTTTCCTGAGTTGCTGCTTCTGAGAATGAGGGACCTTTTACTTGTATTCCTCCTGTGAACACTTTCAGTCTGACAGGTGAGAGAAGGTTGCATTCTTCTCTTCAGGATATTCCAGCAACTTTTTAAACTGTGATCACAGGAAGCTATTATTTTGTGGCCCAGAGAACTGCACAGTCTCAGTTCTTTAGCTTGCTTTTCCTTGTCTGACAGCAGGAAGATTGCTCCACAGTTGATCTCCTGCCGGGTGATTCAGCACGTCACCAGCAACCCACCGTGCTGATCAGATGCTCCATGCAGCACAGAAATAGATTAGCCCAGGGTAATAGAAAGGCACTAATGCCTTTCACAAAGCACTTACTTCTGTGCAGACATGTCCTGAGAAAGCTCAACAGTCTAGGTTTCAATTGAGAGAAATACTATAAAATAAACATACCAGAAGCTCGTTAAGGGTATAATAGTAAATTGTGGGAGCTACTGTAAAAAAAAAATTGAACCTATTTCAGCAATCTACACAGATAATATTTTATATACAATTTCAGCATATGGTAAGAAATGGGATATTGTATGTAGTCAGTGGTATGGTTTTCATGCTGTAGATTAATGGAAGTCCCAAAGCAGTCTACAGAAATTATTCAAAAGAATAAAATCACGTTAATCTCTGTTGTGATACTGCTCTTAGAACGTATGTCTTGTGGGAGCAAGAGCAAGCCAGAGTAAGCCAGTGGGGTTTTTTTATAAAGACAGGCTGAGAGAGTTAGGGCTATTGAGCCTGGAGAAAAGGCTCCAGGGAGACCTTGTAATGGCCTTCCAGTACCTGAAGGGGCTACAGGAAAACTGGGGAGGGGCTTTTCACCAGAGAGGGTAGTGATAGGACAAGGGGTAATGGTTTTAAATGGAAAGAGGAGAGATTTAGGTTAAATATCAGGAAGAAATTCTTCACCATGAGGGCAGTAAGGTGCTGGAATAGGTTGCATAGAGAGGTTGTGGAAGCCCCCTCCCTGGAGGTTTTCAAGGCCAGGTTGGATGAGGCTTTGTGCAGCCTGGTCTAGTGTGAGGTGTCCCTGCTTATGGCAATGAAGTTGGAACTAGAAAATATTTAAGGTCCCTTCAAATCTTAATCATTCTATGATTCTATGTAGTCTTGTATACTCGTGAGATATTTTCCTGGAACTAATACCACATGTCTAGATTTAAATTTAATTTTTAATTCACGTTCTTCTTGATTTACCAAGAAAAAAAAATTCTTAAAAAAGAAAGGATATTTCAATGGCAAAAAGGGAGAAAAACCTCTTTGTCTTTCTGTAGTCTGCGTATAGTAATTCTTTGCAGGAAGGCTACAAAAAAAAACACAACTAGTTTTATATTAAATTCTGAGCTGTGCAAATTAGATTCTTGATTCACTGGCACATCCATTTCTTATAGCTCATATTTTACTTCTGCCTGTAAATTAATGACTGAAGTCCCTATCTGCATTCCAATAATCCCTAAAGTTGATTTTTTATTATGTGTTTATGAAGAAAAAAATCCATCTCAAATAGGAAATTGTAGAGGTATGAGAAGTGCAATGAAGTCTTGGTATTGCACATTGGTTGCACATTCCTATATTCTTTAAAAATTGAATAATTTAATCATGCCTAGTTCAAGAAAACACACAACTTTTGATCCCTGGAGCATTCACTGATAAGGTCTGACATCACACCATTCACTCTGAACCCAGCACCAAGTGTTGTGCAGGTAACAGCTGCAGGATTAGACCCTCTCGTTTATATTTTCATTTAAACAACTCAGAAGTACAAAGGAGAATTCAAGAGGAGTGCAGGCTCTGAAGTCTCAGAGAACTATTCAAGCTGCCTGCCGTCTGGTCACTGTCTCACCGTGGTCAGTATTTTCATTCACTTGACACCTCCATTTTGACATGTGTAATGGCTAAGTGACTGAAGTCAAAGTGCCCCATATACTAAGCCTACCGGTCTAGAAAAATATATAAGCCAGATGTCAAAGCTTCACTGTACTTCAGGGATGAGCAGGGTGAGCCATAAAATCTGCCTTCATGCCCAGAGGTGGCAGACAAGGCAGCTGTGCTCACAGGGTAACAAGTGAGTCCAGATCCTAAAAGGATGGTGATGGGAAGGCTTGGCCAAGGCAATGGGAACCTCTGAAAGAGTACTTTAGTCACGAGGTAGCTGAATAGCCTGGGAGCAAGTTACTCAAAGGAGCTTTTCATAGGACCAGAGCAAGACAGTAAGGAAGAAGTACAGGAGGAAGTCCAGACTTCTAGCCTCAATCCAGAAGTTCTTTTTGCTTTGCATTTGAGTGAGATCCATAAGTTCTCTCCCTTCAATGAGAACTCAGGACCTTCCTGGGCATTTGCTTTAACCACTGGGTGCCTGGAGAGAGGAGGGTCACTCATTCCTCTGGACTGTCACCGCTCTGTCTCCCCGAGACCTTCAGTGTTAGACCTTGGTCAGAGGGGCAGTGGAATTTCCTGCCGAGTCCTGGCTCAAGCCTCAGGGCTTGAGTGCAGCCTTATGTATAAATACAGTTGCAATCACTGAGTTCAGCACCACACTGAGCTTCCTGGGTCTGTGTGGCCACCTCAAGCTATCTCTCCTGCTTAGCTATACCAGAGAATGCTCTAAGGAGGTGGTCTCTCTATACTGAACTTCCCTCTGTGCTGGAGCTCTGCCAATGGGGAGAATGTGTAAGAAGCCTAACACAACCTACAGAGGCTTTTAGAGGCCTCTCCCCACTTGCTCCATAATAGCCAGCTTTCCTTATTTAGGTAGTTCTAATCAGTGTGCTGGGGATGAGCACTCATTTTTAGTGTGGGTGCCTGAAATAAGCAGTCTAAGCACAGCCCTAAAGTTAAAAATACTGTGATCTAGCTTCTGCTCCCCTCCTACCCTGCACAATTGAAGTAACAAGCTAATTTATGCAAAAGGTTCCATCCTGGGTTTCTCCTCGGCATATTTTTTTAAAAGTCATGATTGCAGAGCAATTCATCATTTCCTGAGAAGTGTAATTCATCTTTATTTCCTTAACAACTTTGATCACATAACAAATGCAATGATTCCTTTTCATTGCTTGCATGGGAAATTACTGTCGCTGGTGATCCAAATGTATTTGTTTAATGACTTTGTATGTCCTCTTGGTACATCCCTAAATGCAGTATATATAGTAAATAACAAGTACAACAAACAAGGCTCTGTGAGTATATAGTGTTCCTTCAGTGTTCTTAAAGCTGGGACATATATAGGAAAGATTTGTAGCAGGAGCTGTAGAGATGTAGGACATAAAATGCAGCTGATTTTTGCGGAAGATACTAACACTTTACAGCAGTTATCTGTGGATGTTAATTGAATCTGCCTTAAGGTCACTAAGTGAATCTCCATATCTGGGTTTTGGCTTTACATATGCCAGTGTAGCCTGTAAATGAGTACCAGAACCACATTTGCATTGATTAAAAGTAGAAAACATATGTCAAAGATTATTCCAAATTAATTTTGTAAATGTTATTTTGTTTCTTAATTTGTTAGTTATAATGTTAGTTATAATACACACAAAACCTTTCTTAGGTGAAAATGAATGTAACTTGTTTTTTCTTTATGGTCTTAGACTTCAGTGTCTGCATTGGAAGACATTCTGTATCCTCATTGACAAAGATGAGGCCACAACAGTAACAGTACGCAGTAAGTGACTGCCAAAGAGTTGTTGTCATCCTTAAAATTTTCTCTGTGGCATTTTTCCAGGGAAACCTGAAGACAGAAATAGTTAAAGATGGCTACCGAGGGGCTGACACTCTGAAGTACAACAAAATTACAGTTCTCGGCCTGAAACTGAGACCTCATGCTGTTGCTGTGAATGGAAGAGCCCTCCGTGGAGAAGCTTTCTCTTTCGAACTGAGCGGGGTAAGAGCTGCACTGGGCAATTTTGAAAAATGTTAGGAAAAGGGGGATAGTCAATAAGTAAGAGGAACAGTTTCTCATCGATGCCCCTTTGTATTTCTAAGTATAAGTAGATACCAGTTCTTGATACAACAGCCTGAGTTTTAGGGCGGCAAGCAAAACAAAAGCAACTTTAATCTTTTCTGTTACATATGTACTCTTGTTTACTTCGTGTCTGTCACTCATACAAGTTTTTAAAGTAACAAAAGGATGAAAAGAAGGTATAGTTCCACAAACTGGGAAGAATGTTAGCGGTTCTATGGGCATTATTGTTGTTGTTGTTCTTACTAAATGAGAAAACTTGCAGTGGAGATCTTTTCTCACAACTACTTAAGGTCCAAAACAGATTACAGCCTTGATCCTCAGAAGAGTGAGAGGTGAATCTCTGCTGTGCTTTTCTTCCTGAGAAGCTGTCACTACAGTGAGACACGAATATCAGTTTCAGCATCTTCAAGTGTCCAATCTCAATGTCCCAATCAAAATGCATGACTTGTTCCTGCAGTGTTCCTCCAGTAGCACCAACAAGGAGAAACCCTAGAGAGGATGGACTGAACATTCCTAAGTAATAGCTGTGACACTCTTTGTGGTCCAAATTTCCTTTTACATATTAGAAGAGACAAAAGGAGCAACACTGAGTAAACTTCCCTTTGCTCTGGTCCTTTGTCATGCCTGTCACCAGCCACCAAGCTGAAGTGGGTTGTGCACACTTTGTATGAGATGTGGTACTCACATCTCAGCTCTGCTCTGCATCTGGAAAACTCCCAACACTAACTCTATTAGATGTCACCAACTCATAATTCAGTCAGAGACAAGTAGCTGAGGTGACAAGCAATGGATGTCACATCTTAGGTTACTCTACCCACTCGACTTAATGATTAAAGTTCATTTGTAACCAAAGTGTGATCCTTATTATATGCACCTAGCTCTAGCATTTGTTTTATTGAAGGAATCTGTAAAGGAAGAAAATTGCTGAGAATAAAATTTCTGCCTTGGAGAATCGTAAAAAAACTCACTTTCAGAGATGATGTCATAAATAAGTGTAATCAGTATTGCCTTGAGGGAAGAAATTGTTTAACAGCCAAACTGCCTCTAAGCAAGCTGAAAGCATCATAAAAGTGACAGGGTAAAGAAAACACTCCTTTGAGATGTGCTTGAAGGCACCAGTCACAGAAATCCAGAAGATAACTGCATTCTAACAGCATCGCATAAAAAGATGATTAAGAAAGACTAAGAAGCTTGTCATGAAAGTATACTTTAAAAATTGATCTAAGCGCAAAATATTATCTCAGTGACTTAAGGACTGTTTCAAATAATTAAGAAAAAAAGCCCAAGCTGCTGTAGTAGAAAAGGTCCAAAACTCCTTAAAATTTGTATTATTTCAATCAGACAGTAACCTAAACCAGCTAAATATATTCCTCTTAGAATTCTAAGAGTTTCAGTCAAACCTCTCCCATCATCCCTGTACAGATGTAACAATATTGCCTATAATCCTCTTATGCTTGAGTCTCTATTTAAAAAAAAAAAACCCTAACAGCTTGACTTTAGATCTTGAAAACTTGCAGTCCCTGTAATTACAGAAGTTATAAAATCTAAAGCGCAAATTCCCTATTTTCTCACAGTCTTAATAAGACTACATTCTGTATAATAGTTTAACAAGCACAAAGACTGTACTAGTTGAAGGGCTGTAGTAGAAAGGAACTTCTACCATAATGCCTTTGCTTTACAGAAAGCCAGTTTCCTTAAAATCAGTGCTTAAGTGCATAATTGAGCCATAGTTATTTGTATATAAATAGAAGCAGTTTGCTTAGTAATAAGCCTCTTCCTTCTCTCTGATTCTTGCAGTGCTGCCCTGACCTGACATATGTAATATCACAGAATCTTATTATTAGGAGTCTCTATCTTGTTCTTCCCCCCTGGAGTACTGTACCCTACAAGCCAACAGAACTGTATTGCAACTGCAGCAGGGATGCTGGGGGAGCACTTCTGGTGACCAGGCTTGTCCTGATAACAAAATGACCTGGGCATAGGAAGGTTCCCCTTTTTCTTCCACTCACATGCTCTGCTTGGAAGTGCCGGGAGGTTCTCACACTGAGTAGCTCCCAATGTCCCTGGAGTAGTGCAGTCTGGAGTGGCCTTTCTGGCTGCCTGACACTTTTGAATTAATGTTTGGAGAGGGCTGCAGTATTTTTGTCTGGATCTGGCCCTGGATTTCAATAAAAGAAAAATAATTCAAGAAGTGGTATTTCTACTTAACAAGTAATAGTAGAGAACCATTCCTGATGAAGATGAAAATATTACATACTTGGAAGAAGTGATCTAACCATATAGATTGTTGGAAAGATGTTAACATGAATTTGTGGGTGAGCAAAGAAATAGGTAAAAGGTGTAAATGGATGTAATGCATTTTAAGTGAGTATTAATTCTGAAACCTAAAGATAAAACTGGTGTAGTACTGAAAATGGAAATTAGGCAAGGGGCATAAAATACATTAAATCTAGCATTGAACAGAAAGCAGGACAGGTATTGTACTTAGAATTTAATATTTAATTCATGTTATTAATTAATTCTAAGCTGTTCCTGCATTTCTAAAAGGGAAGTTGAATTGCATACAGTAGTAGAAAGTTGCATATTGCCACCAAGCCTGTCTTGCCTACCAGATGAGATTAAGGAAATCATGAAGGTGTTATCTTGAGTTTCCCTTCTGTTTTGAGATTATAATTTTAAAGTTAAAGTGAAGTTACTAATTATTTTTGTCTTTTTTTTTTTTCCACAGAAACTCACTTTATGGATTTCTGCCCCACTTACTCAGGAACTCAACATTAAGATTTACTAGAATGGTCTGAAAACACTGCCAAATTATCATCCTTGGCTCTCAGATATTAATCTTACTCTGATTTTAATGTAAAAAAAATATAGACATTCAAACATTGCATATGTTCCTCATGACTGTTCTTTTCCTATATCATATTTGCAATTTGGTATTCTTCAAATACAATTTTCAGTAGTAGTTAATGAGTATTTACCATAAACTGGTGTGTGTTCAAAATAGCATAGAAGGAATCATCCTGAAAGTTCTCTCTCACCTCAGATGGAGATAATGTTTGAAAATGCTCTCAATAGAAGCATATTCTGCACAGCATACACCAATTTTTTACAAACCTGTGGTGGAAAACAGGCAAAACAGGAACAGCTGGATAGTCATATTAACTCACATAGCCCTGTTCTGGGAGAGACAATGGGTGTTTGTCAGGATAATGTGTGGTAAACAGCTGATCAAAGGTTGGGGATACCTACATCTAGTTTGAACTATTTCTGGCTGCAGGATGATCTCCCAAGACCACAAGAAGCACCAGCTTGTGGAAATGTCTCTAAGGAATCGCTGTTATTTTAGTATTATAATACATACTCAGCCATTAATACAATATAGAATACATACAATGTATAATATAATATTATATGAAACAACCAGCTGGTACATATCAGCTAATAGTCCCAGACTACAAAATCTACAACTGTGGTGATCACTTGCTTTTGTCTCCTTTTACACGTTCCTGAACTCTAATAACCACACCCCAGGCACATCCTGGGATCCAGCAATCACAGAATTTGTTGAAAACTTGGGGGATTTCTTTAAAAAATCTGATTCTCTCTGAACACTGTTCCCAGTGTTTCCCACAGCAAATGCACACTATGACTTCTGACAGGAGGGATCCACATCATGGCAGGGTCAGAGCTTCATAAACTCAGCTGTTTCCACACTTAGAACTCTGTGCTAAAACCCTAATTTTACCTTTGTTGATATTTATTCAAGAGAAAGCTGAGTTGCAATTTGCAACTGTAAGAGCTTTAATAGTAAACATAGTCTAGTAAGGAGGTTGGGAAGGGACTGTGATATAGTTCAACACCAGCTCTCCCTCCCCCAGCAGTGACATTCTCCCCAAAACATTGCAGGCAGCGTTGAGCTTCATGTCAAGCTCCCAAAGGTGCTTCATTTCAGGCTCCCAAAAGTGCTCCTGACTTTTTCTGTTCCTTCTCCTTCCATAACAAAAATATATATAGAGTATCCTTCTCATGGCAGAAATGCTGGGTCAGTTTCAGGAGATTAGTTCTGCCTCAAAAACTGCAGGGAAAGGCCTCAGTCACAGTCTGCTCCTGCAAAAACGTCCCCAGTGCTTCTCTATGGGAAACTGCTCCTGATGCACAGGCACAAATGCAAGTGCAGAATATTTTAGTGTCTGATTTTCACAGCTATTGGTTCCAGACCACTCAAGGATAAGGATTTCATTCAGGTGTTTTTACATACTCACATTTCATCGGAATTAGCCAGGACACACAACACAGCAGTACGAACTTCTCCAGTTGATGCCAGCTGCAGGAAGATAAATGCAGCTCTGGCTGGCTGCTAAAGGCTGCTTTCTCAAAGCAAGCTGGGTGTGAAGAAACCATAAGGCCTGGGTCTCTCTAGAGCCTTTGCTGGCTGCAGCAAGGTCTGCTGTGAAGTCTGTCTGCTCTGCACAGTGCAGAGAAGGCAACGTTCTCATCAGCCCTTTTGTAGGAAGAACCTGGAGAAGTTACTTCAAAAAGGTGTAGCTCAAGATGCTGAGAAAGGGCTGAGGAAGAGCAAAATATGGGCAGTGGGGTGAAAGTTGATCCAAGCTGATGAATGAGACAACCACATTACTTGCTTAAGAATACAAAAAATACTCCTTGATGAAACACTATAGTGTGCCACTGTCAGTCCATGGACTGGGCAGAACAAGGACCTGTGCGAAGGAAGAATGTCAGTATGGGTTGTGAGAGCTGTGTGCATTTGGGAGAGGAAAGCAGAACTTCTGCCAGAGCAGACACCAGCAGCAGGCAGCCAGAAAGAACAGTACTTGTTGCATAAATCCAAGGAACACCAGAAACCCAGAAGACGTGTCTGTGCTGTATGCTGCACCTCTGCACTGAGAGCTCAATGTGGAGCTAAACCAACCAGAGGCTCCAGCTGGCACAGCAGGTACTAGCCCAGCTGCCACTGGCCACCCACACGTTGTCTTGGGGCTCAGCCATCCTGCCAGTCTTCCTCTCATGGCTGCTCACTTGTGCACATTGCAGATACAACCAGAGAAAGCTGTTGGATGGCCTAACAATGTGGGACAGATGGGGAGCACTACAACAGACGAGTCCTGTCCAGAACCCAACTCCTCCTGTGTGATCTTTGCAATGATGGCATTAAAGAGGCTCTCAGCTTTCCTTCAAAATGAGGATATTAGCTCCTCACCATGGCAAAAGAGCAAAGAGAAAGAGATCTGAGCACTGAGTAAGAGAAAGCAAATTTGTGAAGACCCTGGCTGGGAGTGGAGGGATGAGATGTATTGGTCTGTTTGGGGGCAAGGCTGTTTAGTTTTGGGTTGTTGTTTTTTGTGCAGAGTGCTTGTCTCTAAACTATAGTGTGGGTAAAAGTGAGACAGGGAGATAAGAGCAAAAGTGATAAGTTTGCTGATGAATGGTGAAAGAGGAGACTGGTGTGGAAGTTGGGGCATGGTTGTGGCAGAG